ATATATATGTATATAATTATATATTGTATATAATGTATATTATTATTGTATTATATATATATATATATATTTTTTTTTTTAATTTCATTTTTCTTTAGAAATAATTTATCTTTTGATAGTATCTCAAATTTTCTCCCGATTAATTTGTATATTTTTATTTACAATATTTATCTCGTAGATACGAGATCGTTGTATTAAAACACATACGTGTTTGATATGTTAAAAAAAAAAGAAAGAAATAATACCGAAATGTAAAAATAACTATCATTGTAATAAGTAAAGACAAATATTTCTGATGAATTAATTGCAACGACTTTTATTGTTGTTGTTATTGTTGTTGTTCTTTTCTTTTGTTTGAATTCGTTTTGTAAAATACGAAAAGAGTTACGATAAAATATTTCACGTTTCGCGTAGTGTAACTAAAATGAAAATGCGGTGGTAGTCATTAAATCTAGCAGTCGCAGTCTAGTTATTAATATGAAGACAATGGGAAAAGACGATAAATGAAAAGCCGTGTAAGAGCTTCCCTAAGCTGTTTCAACGTTCATTGTCAATCTCGTATCTCGACGTTAAGCAGTTCCTTTATAGGAATATGTGTATATATATATATATCTTCTTTACAAAAGCTCGCAAAGTTATGCTCTCGTGAAAAGATTCTTTTGCGGTAATTAATAAGTTTCTATTGCAATAGAGTGATTTTATTTTTCCAACTGTGTGTTATATAGAATTTAGCTTTTGAAAATTATTTGGAAGTTTACCAATTCGTTGAATGACGAAGCGTTTCGTTTTATGGTTCCAACCATGAATGAGAGAGAATCTCTGGCAATGACATATTCGTTATTAATTTTGTCATATCTCTTTCGAAAAAGTACTCTTCTCTTTTTCCTTGTTCATCATCATCCTCCTTCTCCATTATAAATTGTCTATTTCGATAAATTTAAAATGAAAGGTTTTTCAAATGAAATTGATTATTTATTTGAAATTCGATCAAAATTATATTGAATTTTTTATTTGATAGGATACAGAACGAATTATACGAATATGATTATCATCAAACTTTTATATATTACTTTCGAATATTTCAATTTAATGAATACACGTGGAAAAATAAATATTCGATATACGTATATATTATGATTCTACGATTATACGCTTGAAAAAAAAATATCCAATTAAATATCGAAATATCTCGTTTTGCAATGAACATAGCAACCCATGAAATATTATCTCTTCCCTTCTCATGGATTTATTAACATTATTATTAACCTCGTATAAATAATCTAACATTATCAAGTTATATACGTGTTTTATACAAACAAGATTAACTAACGTGAGTTCGTTTAAAGTTTAGGGTTAAATATAGTTACAATTCCTAGTTAATTATGATAACGGAGCAGGTACGATGCAATCCCTTGTTCGTCAAATCTCATGTCAAGTTTGAGTCAAACAGCGTCCGAGGAAGCCGTTTTATTAGAACGTGGTTATAAATTAACGAAAAAAATCGGCGAGGGTTCTTACGCTAAGGTTTGTCTATTTCAAATCTTATTTGCAACTTATTATTAATTGTTGTTGTTGTTAAAAATATTTAAGAGAGTAAAAGAAAAAGAAAATGCAGACGCTTTTTGTTTAACGGGCAAATAAAAGAAAATTTTTGATGAGAATTCAACGATTCGTTGAGAAATTGTATCAACAAAAAAAAAAGTTATATAAAAATATAAATAAGTGTCAATAGATTTGTTTTCCACGTGATAATGGGAAAACGTTAATATAATCTTGTTTGAAAATTAACGTATGCAATAGAAAAAAAATGTTTCATTGAAAACAATCGTCGATTTTTCACTCAACCCCCTTCTTTACCCTCCGTACTGGAAAATCGATGAAAGTTGGTCCGCTGCATATGACATCGAAGAACAATCACGCGAACACGATGATTAAACGTTTCGGTAAACGAATTTGTTACGATCGTATGATGAAATAGAGTTTATTCTGTGAAAAAACATGAAAGCTCGTACGTTCATTCGTTCATTCATTTTTTTACAAATTCATACGGATTACTCGTGTATATTTTATCTCGTTCTTATTATTTTGTTATCTTTCTTTTTCTTCGAATAATAAGTCAACGTTTTCTTTTAAATTAATTTTTTGTCTTCTTCTTTGTTTCTCTTATTTAACCGTAAGAAGAAAACTCTACATTTTATTGCATGTTTAATATTATTTAAAAATATTTGTATAGGTTTACCAAGCCGATTACAAATCGCAGTATCGTTCGGTAAAGGATTCCACGTTGGCTTGCAAGATCATCGACACATCGAAAGCACCGAAAGATTTCGTTCGTAAATTTTTACCAAGGGAGCTTGATATTTTAGTTAAATTGAATCATCCACACGTGGTACATATACACAGCATCTTTCAAAGACGAACGAAATATTTTATATTCATGCGTTTTGCTGAGAACGGTGACCTTCTCGATTTTATCCTAAAGAACGGTGCAGTGACAGAGAATCAAGCTCGCATATGGCTTCGACAACTGACTCTTGGTATATACATACATACACACATATATATATATATATATATATATATAAATATAATATATTTTATATACTATCAAAAAATAATATAAAAGAAGAAAATAATTTTGTCTAAAGAGAAATATTTTTCAAATATATATATATATATATAAATAAAATCATAGATTAACGTTTTATTAATCGATATATTCGTTGAGAATACAGAACGTGCAAATAACGACGTACTCGACAATTCAATTATTGAGAAACACTAACGAGCGATTACGTCCTGTTCTATATCATTTTTATCAATCGATAATTCTCCTCCTCTTCCTCCTCTCTTTTTATTTCTCTTTTTGCTTTTGTTTTTTTCTGCCCATCAGGAATGTTGTGTTTCGTATAAAGCTAAACGATGTACGTACGTAACGTATCTTTCGCGCGTATATTCGAAACAATTAAACAATATAAAAATTCCAAATTTAATAACACGTAAATTGCATTTCATTGTACTTTTGGTTTATTTTTTTTTTTTTTTCAGGACTTCAATATCTTCACGAAATGGAAATCGCACATCGTGATATGAAATGTGAAAACGTATTACTAACTACGAATTACAATGTAAAATTAGCCGATTTCGGATTTTCACGATACATGATTGACAATCGTGGTAAACGTGTATTAAGTGACACGTATTGTGGTTCCTTGTCATATGCTGCACCAGAAGTTCTACGTGGTGCTCCTTATAATCCAAAACATTCAGACATTTGGTCTTTGGGTGTAATTCTTTATATCATATTGAACAAAGCCATGCCTTTCGATGAGACCAACATAAAGGTACTTTACGAACAACAAATATCACGTAGATGGAAATTTCGACGAAAAATAGACGAAACGTTAAGTGAAAATGCGAAGAAAACTGTTACCAATCTTTTGGAACCTGACGTAAGCAAACGTTGGCAAGTTGATCAGATATTATATTGCGATTGGATAGCAATGGATGAAAGATTATTGATTTTGACACCTGCTGAACAAACTGCTCTTAATAATGCTATAGAGGAACGTAAAAAGAACGAAGAGAAATTTTCTAAGAAGGTAAACTTTTACTTGAAAATATTACAAAATTGTTTGTACAGAATATAGTTCGTTGTATTTTATTGTATTCGTTTTTTTTTTTTAGAAATCTCTGAGAATCGAAAAGAAGAGTGAAAAGCAGCAAGATAATATTAAAGAAACTGTCGAACAACAAGTCACCATTTTAAAGGGTGCTACAAAGGTATTCGATGTCATTGTTAAGAACTATATATACAAAATGTATATTACATTACATTTATCGAAATTTTTCTCATTTCCTTTCTAGGCTAGAGCATCATCTCTTTTACCAACTGGTCTTTTTCAAAAACTCGAGACGTAATCGAATATCATTTGGTATACAAGTACAATTGGAAGCATGGTTCTTAATTGCATGATACATATTCCCATATCTCTCCATTTCTTACTTTTGTAAGCCAACCCATTTGAATGAGAATACGATTTAAATGCAATATCCACGTTTTACCTATAAAACAGTTAAGGTATCCATTTACCTCGAAGTAAGCTAACTGAACAATGGAAAACTAAGGATGCAATTAAATTAGAAAGACGATATTGGATAGAAACGTGTATTACGTATCCAATCTGGGATTGTTTTGGACGATGAGTTGAGTTTCTAGTAATCGGAAAACGATTAAAGTTACGGTGCAAATTCTTCTTAGTAAATTGGTCTTCCTTTCAAGATCTATATAAACGATCGATTTGATCGTCTTAATTACTATTACTGCAACCCTAATTCCTCTTCGTTCTTTGAGAACTATCCTTTTTCATTAGTAAGATGTATTTAATTGTAAGAGAGAGAGAGAGAGATCTCATATATACGCTTAAGGATAGTTGACACGATAACTCAATGATTCTATTCCACTTCCATTAGTTGGTGGTAGAAATCTGGTAAAAGAACATTAATTCAAAGGGAAACACATTTATATTTTATAAAGGCAATTATAAAACGGAATCGTGCGCACGCACGCACTCCATTTTCGAGCTTCACATTTTGTTTGTAAGTTCGTTATTTCGTTGCCCGTGAACCCTTCTCTCTCGTGTAACGAAGTACCTTTTCGTGTAAGGGTAAAAGGTGTTTCCATAAAGTTGTGTCGCGTAGCGTGCGACCTGCTCATTGCAGTAAAAGACTGTTGTGGTATAATGGTAGAGGCGAGTTAACTTGGCATCGTATAGTCATCCTTAGTAATGAGAACCTTCGTAATGTCCTAACGTTATCCGGAAATTAACATCGTTTGAATATCACAATCAGCCTTGCCAGGAAACCTGGAACATTTTCAACGATCGAAACATTGAAGATATGAACACCCTTAGCAAATCTATACTTAAGCAAAAAGAAATAAGATGAAAAAATAAAGAATATAATAAAACAATTTAAAAAAGAAAAACTATAAAAGAAAACAATGGGTAGAATTTAGAGGGATTAATGTGTGGCATGAATATTCAACGCTAATAATTTTCTTTTCAAAGGTTAATTAAATTAACTTTAAGTTGATGAACTGATAGAATAGAAAATAAATCGTTACTGTAGGTAGTTTTATTTAGTTCTTGATGCTTTTGTCCTTGTATTGCCGAATTAACGTTGAAAAAATTCTTTTGTTCGCTTCTCTTTCTTTTTTATATTTTTGTTCTTTCCTTTTGGTTTTATTTTATTTCTCTCTCTCTTCCATCGATTCAATTCTATAGAAGCTGGAAAACACGGAAACCGTGTATAAATACGTGAGAATACATAGAAATGTGGAGTAGGATTTGAAAACCGTTCGATAAGAGAATAGAAAGGCTTTATAATCAGAGTGGTCCCAAGAGATGATCGATAACCGTTCGACTTCATCTAGAGATAAACGACAAATTCGATTGAAACGTTAATAAAATAAAGAAACATGTCATTACGTTCCTCTTATTCGTCTTCTGCTTTCTTTTCTTTTCTTTTTTTATTTTCTCATCTTTTTTATTCTATTTAATTTTTAAAACACACAACCTCTGGCGTTTCCTTAAAATTTATTTATTTATTTATAATGAATATTTTGTATACATTTTATTTAGTTAGGAATAACCTTTTTTCTAAAAGAAAAGAAAACTATTTTGTTGATTACTCGAATGTAATTTAATTCAAATTTAATATTTCAAAGATAAATTGAATAAAGTAAATTTGAAAAATCCCGGTTATAGTATCGATCGATAGTATCGTTTATCGTTGTCACGTGACTCATGCAGAAAACTTCTCATTGGTACTTTCCCGCGAAACGATCCATGAAATGAACCATTTGTTGTGGAACAGAAAATTACTTTTGAACTCTTTATAATGTAAGTAGAAACTTTCTTATTTAAATATATACTTGATTCGGTGAAAACTTTGATGTGCAAACATTTATTCGAAAAAATAATAAAAGATTTCTATTCTTGAAATAAAAATCATTTGCATGCAAAACGTATATGTATATATATATATATATATATATATATATGGAACAATCAAATATAAATTATTATAAAATCAATAAATCTCTCTCTATCTCTCTCTCTCTCCAAATTGTTTTTGAGCAATCAACAAATTTAATTGTCACTTTAATTTGTGTAAATATATCTAAATGAATTTGATTATTTGATTGTAGTAATGAGCGGGCTTTTTAAATAATTTGAATTATAAATGAAATCACATAATTAAATTCTCACATATAAAGTGGTATACTAAAATTTATTATTACAGTAACATAAATTAATTAGACAAAAACAAATGAATGAATTAACATATGTTTACACATATAAATAGAATTTCTATAATATTTATAGAATAACGTTTATACATATCACAGATAAATATGTAACATTTTTCATTTTATCTCTGATGCAGTTTAATTACCCACGTATACAGGTTTCATGAAAACAGTACCATCATTATTTATATTTTTTAAATAATATTCTTTATCATAAAAAAATGTTTCTATTGTTCCTGTTAAATTTGTTTGAAATATATGTCGTGGCCTTCCAAGTTCATTAATATTCCAAACTCCATCTGATCGAAGCATTAATAATTCTTTATTTGATAGTATACCAGTGATAAGCATATTTGAAGGTGGTAAAGTATACTGTTTGACATTATCCCCAGAAACATAATGAAACGCTAACATTTCTAAAGGTAATTGTAAAATAATCCATAATGAATTTCCTACAGATTCTATTGATGCTTTGAGAATATTTGGTACGCAAAAAACTGCAAGAAAAAATAATATAAATGAAATATTTCATTAAATTAATTGATACACATTTTTTTGAACATAATAACTGCATAATAATTTAGATAATGATAAACCTTTTTTCTGATAAAATCTTGCATCAATAATATTGCCAATTGAAACACAATCAGATGTAATCAATACAATAAATGTATTTTCTCTAACAGATAAAATTTGAAGTCTTGTATAATTACTTATATTCGATCCAAGACTAAAGCCTTGTATTTTAATATTGTTACAAAATAATGATACATTTTTTAATTCGCAATAAGAATTAATATTATTTTGTAAGTAATTATTATTTGAATAGGTTGTTAATGCATTAATATTTTTCAAAATTTTTAATTTATTTAAGAAAAAGGCTCGATCTGTAATAAAAAAAAAATATATATATATATACGTATATATAATAAATAATTCAAATTTTTATTATATTAAAATTAGAATTTTATATACTAACTATTTAAAGCAGTTCCTGCTACCTTTACTACCTCCGCAATCTCTGTTAAATTATTTTCTATAGATTTCAGTTTTTCGTATTCTTTGTTAAGATTATTTAATTTGATACCATTATAAAGACCATCAATGAAAATATTTCCGAATACTTCTAAACTATCTTTTAAAATAATATCTGTCTCTAGTATTTGTACAGTCTTATTTTTCTTTAACAGATTACTGGTAAAACTTGTCAAATTAATATCATTCACTAAACCATCAATTAATAGACTCGGCATTTTAATATTACCATCGAATATTTTCGTGCCATTAATAATTTGCGGTTTGGATTTTAGTAATGCATTTTCAATTTTTTTCCCCATTATGGTACCATCCAAACTGTTAATAATCAATTTTATAAAAAAATTATAAATAATTCGTTTTGATATAAAAAATAATATTAAATAACTTTCAATGTTTCTACTTGTTAAAATAAATTCAATTATACCTTAAATGTGAAAGATTTATATTAGCAAAAGTCTTTTGACCTTTAACTACAATTACATTTTGGTGATTTGATAATACTGCATTTTGTGACCATTCACTGAAATTTAATCCATGTAAATTTTTAGTTGTCAATCCTAAAACTGTTTTCTTTCCGGTAACAACATTTGTTTCACTACTATGTTTCATAATATCGGTTCTTAAATCCATGTTATTAATTTTTCCTTGTAAATTTACTTCACCTGAAAAAGAAAATTAATTATATTTTTCTTTTTACATAAATCAAATTTTTATTTAAGATTATATTAAGATAAGAAAATGATTACAGAACCTGGTAATATTAATGTATCAAAATGCCAGTTGCCTATAATTATTTGTGTCTCATTTTTTTTAAAAGACATTTCAATTATATTCTTTATGTATGAATCAGAAGATTGTATAGATAAATTTTTAGAACCTTTGATATTGTCAATTTCTATACTACTAAACCAACAAGGAACATTTATTACTTGAGGTTTAGTTTTACTTAATAAATTGTATGACATATTTGTCCAAGAACCATAATGTGGTACATTAAGAGATGTCTGAAAAATATGAGTATTAAAATGCTGTTATGTCATGATCAAATGAAACATTTTCTTTCTTTTGGATAATTATTTACCTTTGTGATATTATTTCCTAATAAAGTCATATTTTTAATGACAAAATTATTACCAGTTACAATTATATTTTCATCAATTGTATAAATTTCCGAAAAGAACTTTTTCAAATTGATGTTATTTATATTTTGTACAATAGGTTCAGATGTAAAAGTTACATTACCTAAAATTAAAATCTTTCATAGAGTTATTTGATATAAATTTTTATTATCGCATATAATAAATATTTCATTTTTACCTTGTATTATATAATTTTTTGAAGTGTTGTATGTTTTATCAATGATAGGTTTTGGTATATTTAACATTCCTACTTGCATGTTACCCAAAATATGTTTTGAATGCAAATTTGGATAAAATGCTGGATCAGTGAGATTAAGTGATCCATAGGAAAATTGTACATTGTTGGATTTTAATCCCATATCTATAATAATAATTATAACATTTTAAGAAATGATTAAAAATTTTTTAACATTTTCATATTTTAAAAATTATTTTTTGTAATTTATAATTAAATCTCAAATGTGTGGAGTTGAGAACAAAATTATTAATTAAAATAATTACTTACTAAATGTTATATTATTTAAAGAAATTGTATCATCTATTCTAACAGCATTTTTCATGAAACGTTCAATATCTTCACCATTAATAATTTTAGCATAAGTATTTCCTTTTGAGATAACATTTCTAACTGTAGTAGGAAGTGGAAATGTAAATCTTGCAGGAACTTGAAGATTATTAACTTTCAAACGTGTTACATTTCGAATATCTTTAAAAATGTTTTTTCCTATCCACGTGTTTAGAATTTCTTGAAATCCTATAAAATATTATTATAAAATAAGAAAGTATATCACACACACATCAAGTATTTAGTAAATTGTAGATAAAATTCTATTGCCTTTTAGATTAAATCCTTTAATATTAAATGGTAGAATATCTTTTACATTAGTTACACCAATGAAATATTTTTTCGATAAATCAATAGTATCGATAGAAGTTGTTGTCTCAAAAATAGTAGAGTTTAATTCTTTAGCTCCAAATACGTGAAAACTGTTCAAATTATCTACATTTATATTTTCTATCAGTACATTAGATAATTTTAAGTTTGAAACATTAGCAGTTGAAACGCATAAGGAAAAATTAAGTCTATAATATTCATAAATAAAAGTTAATATTTAAATACAAATATATATATAATGTATCAAACGCACACAATAGCATTAGGATACATACTTTGGAATCAATGATGCTGGGTAAGCTGAATGTGGTAATATCACATCATAATTAATTTGTTTTTTTCCTGAAATGATAACTTTATTATCAGAATAAGCTGTTACCCAATTATTATAATTTTTTATCGTAACATTTCTCCAAACCTACGAATAATATTTAATTACATATTTATTTAAAAACATAAACAAATAAAGAAAATACAAATATATTGCTTTCATACCACATTATTGTTAGAAAATATTAAATGTCGTGGGAATTTATTATCTATTAATATTCCATTATCCAAAATAACTTTTAAAGATTTGCCATTTTGCCTGTATACGTCTTCAGTTCTCAGTGTATTTACGATGGTAATATTTTGGAAATTACGATTTCCGTTTATTTCCATAAAGTCTGACACACGTTTAATTGGCATTAATGAACTTGCACCTTTACCTTTCAATCCTCCTTTTAAAGTAATTTGCCCTGTTACGTTTACTTTTTTTACTGTTATACATCCTGAGATTTTAGATGGAGGACCATTTAATGGTAATAAAAATCCATCTTTCTCCAAATGCAATTCTTTTACTGTAATTTTTTTTGCGTGTACAGTTTGGGTTGTAAAATTTGTAGCAATATTTAATGGCACAACGCTATGATCAACGTCTAATTCAACAAAAATGTGATCACCTAAAAAATAATATATATATATTTAATAACACATTTACACACATAAATATAATTATAAAATTAAAATAAGAAAAGAAATAATCATATTAACTTTTAACTATTTGATCACCGCTTATTTTTAATGTATTTTCTTGTAAATCTGACAATGAAACATTATTGATTAATCCTTTGAGATGCAAATTTGTAGGTGTTAATGCAATAATAGGACACTTGAAGTTATTAATGTTTTCTACTTTTAAATTTGAAAATGTTATATTCTGATTAATGTCTTCTATGGATTTTAATTTAAGCAATGGATTATCTTTTCCTGTTATTATTACATTATTAACCTTGCATTGTGATTTACATGTTACTTGTACTTTATTAGCTCGTAGTGTTTTATATTGAACATTACTATTGTTTATTTTTTTATTTAAATAATCATTCATTGCTTGTATTTGTGTATTCAAATATTCGTATTGTCTTGTTAAGTTTTGCAATTCTTTTGAATCATATCCATTTATCTATAATAATATAATTTATTTTATATTAAATTATATATATAAAAAAAAATATATAGAATATTATATGCAATATAGCATGTTAGATCCAAAAAAAAACAAATATTTACATTTTGAGTATCAATTTCACGTATATGACCATTTAATATAGACAATGGTGTTTTTAAAATTAATGTAGCCTTAGGTATTCTCTGTGCAATAGCTGTAGCTTTAATGCACCAAGATTTTATTTCATTTTTTAATCCAACTAAAGATTTTATTTCACCCCATTTTGGCTTTAATAATTTCCATGTAGAAACTCCATGTGTTATGATCATTAATTTATTTTCATGAATATAAACCAGATAAATATTATTGACTTCTGACACTTTTGCATTTAATCTTACAAATTTCCATCCATCGTATTGATAAATTGTTACAACATTCTTATAGAGTGACAATAATACAACTGCATTTTTATCTATTAATGGTATTATCTTTTCTGCGCTAGATATTTCTTGAAATGACATAAAATACCCATGTACTTCTTTGTACATAACTGTATTTTTATCCGTAGACAAACATATATAATATTCTTTCAGATGACCCTTGATTACATCAAATGTAACAACAGCATTGCTAGCAGGTAATGTCTGAATTATCATAAATTTATTCAAATGTAAAGAATAACGTAATATTATTGTGCGAGATGAAATACAAATGAGATTCATAAATCCTTTATTTTTAAAGAATGTTAATTTTTCTGCTCCAAAATCTAAAGTTTGTATTAAATCAAAGTGTGTATTAGTCCAAATATAAATTGATATATTATGATGCGATGCTATGCCTAAATATAAATCATTCATGTAATGCCATGTATGGATATCAGTTATATCAGGTATTTGAATAGCTTGTACAAAGGATAGTGTATACGCAGTCTGAATATAATCAAATTTCAATATTATTATATTCTCAATGAAAGTTTGAATTATAGCTATGGTATCCTGTATAGAGTTGTCCACTATTATTCGTATACCATTATATTGCGAATATGTTTTAACGTGATTCAATTTTTTATTCTAAGAACAAAACAATTTTTTATTAGTAATATATGTAATCTATTAATATATAGTATATTAAAATACTACATACATTTAATTGATATAAAGATATTCCATTAGAGTTAATGCCTGCCATAAACCAAAAGAAATGTCCATTAAATTTAAGTGGAAAAAATGTTATATGTTTAAAATCTTGTACATTAAACGTCGATATTTCGTCGAAACCTTCCAGAATATTAATTGCTGAAAAATTAATGTTTTATATCAAATTTGTGTTTTAAGGTCATTTAATCTTTCGATAATGACGTTCAAAATTCCCCGCGCTTTATTGTAACTAAAGCGTACGATATATGTTTTTACATCAAATCCTCATTTCATAGTGTACTAATAGTTTAATAAGAACTGTCAATATTCTTCAATTTTAAATTAGATGCAATACTTAATTACTGTATTATAAATAAATTTAGACGCGCGCGCGCGTGTGTGTGTGTGTGTATATATATATTAAATAAATAAAATTAAAATGAATTTTTTTGAATAAATATGCATCTTGCTTCCTAAGTACAGTTTTGATTCATGGTTATATTATATTATAGGTTATATTATATCAATAATATTTATATAATCTTTAGCCTTGAACCTTTAAACTGAACTCAAATTATTATTTTACTTCATGTTTTTTTTCTTAAAATCAGTATTATCTTTTTAAGATATCAATATAAATAGGTTGTTGCAAGTGAACAGTTTCCATATGTCTTATATATCATTTAAATACAATGTCTCTTTACGAAAATATAAAAGAAAATTTAACAACTCAAATATACGAATTAGAAGCATTACAATCGGTTTATCCAGAAGAATTAGTAATCGCAGATCAAGGAATTTTAGCTGACATTAATAATTTTATTGAATTTCCTCAAGAACTTCCGCAAAGATTGGAATATTCTATAAAAATTTCTGAGAACGAAGTAAGATTTTAATAATGATTACACAATATATAAATAAAAATAATATTTATATATTTTATTTAGGCAACGATTGAACTTCAAGTATGTCTGCCGACTAATTATCCGCAAGAGAAACCTGAAGTTTATGCTAGAACTCCTTCGCTAGATCGAACACAACAATTACTTTTAAATGAAGCATTAGCAAGTTTTTTAAATAAGAATGAAAATGGTGATCCTTGTATATATTCGCTGATATCATGGTTACAAGATAACATAGAGAAATATCTCAAAAATTCGAAAGTCAATAAAGAAAGTAATAATGAAAATGAAAAGAAAGAATATGAGCAACCTGGTGAATTAAGTTTTGCTAGATATTGGATTTATAGTCATCACATATATAGTAAACTTAAAAGACGAGATATAATTAATTTAGCGAAAGAACATTCTCTCACTGGATTTTGTTTACCTGGCAAACCAGGAATTATTTGTATAGAAGGTACAAAAACGGATTGTGAATTGTGGTGGCAAAAGGTAGAATAGTTATATGGAATTATATTAATCGCTGAATCCAAAGTGATTATGAGAAACTTAAACCTACTCTTTTTAAAATTTCGTATAACATTTTATGTTATAATTTTCAGATAAAAGTTATGAATTGGCATAAAATTCTCATTAAATTAATAGAAGATGAGATCTTAAATGATGAAAAAAATATAAACTCCATGCGTAAATATCCTAACTTTCAAGAAATATCTTTTCCTAGTTCAGATCGTCATAATGATATGGGACAATTACTTACATATTTAACCGACCATCAATCTCAGCATGTTTTTAATGAAATTTTTGGTATCAAAGGCAAATTTACCCATTAAAGTAATCATTTAAAATATCTTAATCTATCTTCTTAAGTTAATATATATATATATTAAGACAAACAAACAATATTTCTATAACATACCGACAGCATTGTTGAATGAATCATGTCTTTTATGACGATTAATTGGATTACTTGCATTTTCAATATACGAATTTATTTTTGTATCGATTTGGTCTAATGTATCAAAATGTAACGAATGATTTTCTGAAAGTAAGTTTTGTAAGTTCGTTGAATAAGTTAAAGAGTGAGTTAATAACTGCTGAATAAATAAATAGAATTTTCTACATACCATATTTTGTTTTAAGCTTTTCAAAAAATTTAGTTAAATCTTCTAATGCATTAGTCAAAATTTCTGATCCATGACTTAAATGATTATCACTTATATTGCATATAATTACGAATATTATTAGAAAATTTATCATTATGTGCTAAACTTTACTCGTCAAGAGTAACACACTATAAGTAAGTTGAATTTACAAGATCAGTTATATCTCGATTATTACAAGGTGGTAATATTTAATGTGTACATTTTTTTTTGTATAATCAGGTCATATGGATTAAGGATATGATGATACTTTATTGATACTATGAAACCTATGGAATACAATACAAATGTTGAGCGAATTTTCTTACTGTAATAAATAAACTAATATATATATACAAATACTAATCTATCTGACTGTAGCATAACGTAGAAATTCATTAGTAAGAAATTGTCCTGGCATATAAGGGGCAGGTGGTCCAAGAACATCTTGTGCTGGAGAGTGAACTTTAATTTGTCGCATATGAGTATCTCTACCATTTTGATGATTGCTTATAACAGCTATTTGGATCATAAATGTTCTGATAGGTCTTTCATTTATATCCTTTATAGGAATAACCACCCATCCACTTGGTTCATTAAGATCCATGACTTCAACTTCTTGAAGATCATTGAAATTGGTACCTGCTCTAATACTAATTCTAAAAATAAATTTGTATCAAGAAGCAATTGAAATTTTAATTGTTATATTATTACATTTAATTGTTATATTATTACCTGCTCGGAGTATAGCTTTCATCGAGTTTATAATCTGTATAAATACATATGTCTCTTATCGTTGTTTTTCTTTTGAATTGTATATTTACCAAATGTGGAAGTTGCCCATCAGATTGCCAATATGTTTCGGTTATATCATCTCGGAGTTGATCTACTCCAAAACCTGGCTTACAACTAGATAAACTCCATATTGCATGATTGCCTACTTCTCTTACTCTACCAGCTAATTCTTCTTGCACAGGATCTGTTTCTCCTAATGATACAAATATATTAAATATTAAATATAAAAATTTAAATAATTAAAATATTATTATAAATCAATATATATTTAAAAAACAAAATATTTACCTGTGTTATTGGCTTTGTTACTCATTATAAAATTACTTTTTAATTAGGGAACATTTTCTTAAAACAATTATATATTAATTAGAAAAAAAATGTTTATGTTATTTTACATTTATTGACAGAACACTGCAGGATAATAACATAGATCAGTGGCGGCATCATTGAAGTGTCGATATTTGGAATTAATCCTTTTCGATCTGCAGTTAATTTCACACCTATTTCTTAATATCGTAATTGTTTCGTGTAACCGACGTTTGAATATAAAATAGAAAGTTACAAACACTTATATCACATTTCTTAATTCTTTCAATAGAATATTAAACACTTCTTTATTCGTGTTAAAAGTAAAATTCAGTGAAAAACATTCATTTAATGCACTTTATCTCGTGAATCTTATCTGCACGTATGTTAAAAGTATGTATGTATATAAAAATTTTTACATTCATTTTTTTATTATAATAACTATTAGGTATCATTTGTCAAATGAATTAACTCAATACATTTTTCACAAAAAAATATTTTATTAAATAATAATATATTATAATAAAATACTGGCATAATTTTATAAGAAAATTTGATCGTTTTCTTTTTGAATAGTTGAATAAATTTGAATGGAAGCTTATTATTATGATTATCCAAAATTTAATTTGTAGATAAGTCCGGTAGAGGCGCTGTAAACGATGAACCAAGCTTATACATGGGGATATATGTCGAGTCTGACGAAAACGTAACGTAACTCGTACGCAAATTGAGTTACGCCTCCCTGTAATCGTGCGGTGAACGCCTAAGCGCGGGTCGCGTGTGTTTCGTGAAGGTGTACATCGTCGTCGTTGCCGTTGTCTTCGTCGTCGTCGTGATTATCTTCATCGTCAACGTCGCCGCCGCCGCCGTCGTCGTCGTCGCCGCGTGATATCTAAAACGTTTATTGGAATATGATGATCTGATCAAAATTCAACATGACTATGGCCTTCGCCAATTATTTTTGGGTGAGTGTTTTAATAGATATGAACTGTGAAAGCTAAAATTCGTAACATAAGTGAGAGATAAAGAAGAATAGGAGGACGCGATATTTATTTGTTAGATTGTCGTTTCTTCATCGTTGCATTTCTTGTAGTAGAGAACCTTTAGCGCGCGTCGATAATCGTTTAGGTTAGGTACGATTAATATTTCGTATTTTTGCATTATCCATTGTATCTGGTTTGTGCTTTTAAAAATTTCAATGCAATTAAAGATAAAAATAAGATAAAAAAAAAGATGACACATCTGCAGTGTACAATGAGAGACGGCAACGGCAATGGATTCAGAACGTAAACTGACAGTTTTTTTTTTTTCTTTTTATTTAAACGTTTCTCCCCTTATGCATTTAATCGGGATTAGAAAGAACTAAAGGAGAGAGAAAAAAAGAGAAAGATAGAGAGAAATCATTTCCTCGTCCCGTTAAGCGAACTTTCAAGCTTTCTCTACTCGCTTATTTTCAGTTGCGTCTTGCATACGTAGGGAGTAACAGGACGATGCACGCGTTTACATGTATGCATATGCATATGTATGCGCATATGCGTAACGTATTATATGTAAGCAGCGTCGTCGTATCACGCACATGCACATGCGCATACGCATCATATATCTAACGCGCCACGCTCGTTTGTTCCGTCCTTGATCATGCAATCTTCCAACCAACGAGAAGCGACTTGTTCGAGCTTATGCAGCCACCGAATAGTACATGCCTTTCATTTTACCCATTCAACAATTTATCTTAGAGATTAGTTCTTTATTATCTTATATAAAACGCATCATAGATAAACGTATATAAGCCTAAGAAATGTCATTTCTTTTAATCTTACATATTATTCGAATACGTTAAGATTGCGATGCGTAGTTTGAAGATGACAAGAGTGAAGTTTATAAATGTGAAAGTAAATGATATATACTATATATATCACATTTACTATGGGTAATTTGATCTTTGACATATCCCAACCCTACCATAAAGTCGTTAAGTCTATTACATGAATTCCAACGTAATACTGTCGTTTTTATTCCTATTTCTTTTTTCTATTCCTCTATTGTCTTTAGTCTTTTAAATGTTTTTTATTTGTATGCTTACTCGTTTGCTTTTTTCTTGTTTAATCTTCATTTATGTAAAACCTAGAAAGAAACATTTTGATGAATGTAATTCCATTAGAGAACACAAGCATGGAAATATCAAATTATATATATACTACAAATTTGGGTGTTTACAATGCTGTAATTTTATTGATGGAATAGATGATTCTTTTTGTTATTATCAGAAAACAGTATAAATGTATTCCAAAAACAACGTTGGCCTTTGTGAATATAATTCCCATTATTTTTTGATTTTAGTCTTTTTTTTTTTTTAAGAAGAAGAATGCACACTGTCACATTCTGATTTTAATAACGAGAGATGTATTTTTCCTATTGCGTCCACTTTATGATACGGATAAGATAGCGATAGTATGCTGTTTCCTTTTTCCTTTATTATTAATCACATTTGAAGTCCAAATTAATTGCTGTTAAGAATTCAAATTTTTAACAGTCATCTTCAATATAATATGTGGTTAATATTATTTATTTTATAATTATTATTCTGCATGATAATTGTATATGCAATGAATTATCGATACAATCGATAACCAACGATATAATTATATATATAATATTAATAATAATAATATATATATATAGATTATATTTTTATTATTATCGGTAACAATAATATTCGATATTTTTGTTATCTATTATATCAAATACAAGAACAAAATAATGACTAATGTGTAATATAATTATATCGTATATTTTTTTAAATTTGTCAATAATCTTATTAAAAACTTTAAATATATATATATATATAATATTGCACCAATATTTTGATAAGTTTTCTTAAATTTAACAAAACATACATTTGTAATATTTCCTTTTATGCACTCTGAATGCGAGTGTCGACAAAACGCGGGAAGATAATATCTGTTTGAAATTGATTTAAATTTATATGTTAATTTGAAGATTACATCGAAAGTATATTTCTGATAAATCATTATTGTAGTAATAATTGAGTCATTTTTTTTCTTTTTCTATTAAAAAAACAAAAGTTATATAGTTTATAGACGGTGTTAAAACGATCATAAGTCGCCCCCTCGGAATTGTAATAATAGCCCACTTACGCTTCATCTCTTTCTTTTATTATATTACACAACTGATACGATATGTATGTAGCTTACGTTTATAAATGTAGTCTTGGGTAATATTGACAGTATTTAAAGATATATTGAGTATTATATTATATATATATATATGAATAATATTATCTAATTGCATATTCACATTCTCATAAGTTAAATGGAAACATTATTGATTGTATATTTTATTGTTTGTTAATTTTGTTCATGTCATAATTTAGATACTTTTGTAAATATTGATAATTTTCAATTGAAATCAAAGATCCGTTTGAATGATGATAGGTGTAATGACGAAGAATTCTTAATTTTAAGGGCGAAAAAAATAATGGATTTGACGTGTTGTACCATAACATGAAGCATGGTGCAATAGCCAGTAAGGAATTAGCAGAGTTTCTAAGAGAACGATCGACCATTGAAGAGAACAATTATAAACTCTTAAGTAAAGTAGCTAAACAAGCAAGTAACAGCAGTAGTGCTCAAGGTACTTTTGCACCAGTTTGGGCTGCTCTAAGAGGTGCAGCTGAAAAACTCGCTGGTCTGCATCTGCAGATGGCTCAAAGAGTTGCTGAACTTATAAAAGATGTATCCAAATATGCCGATGAACTCCACAAGAAGCATAAAGCTGTACGTAAATAATCGTTAACAATTCATATATACCAAAAACACATTTATAAAAAGAACAACCAAAAATTGTTTTATTCGTGAGCATAAGAATGACTGTGTTGAACGTATATACTAAAATATAATCAAAGAATGATAGTGTATTGTAAATAAAGGATTATAATTATTATCTTTTATGTACACAAGCATTCTGCTATGCCGTATGCATACACATAGGTATACAATGTTTCAAGATAAGAGTGTTCTACAATATAACGACAAAATTATAGAAGATTGAATTAAATGTATGAGAATTTTATACAAGTCATGGCAGAATCAAGTTTTCATATGCTTCCTTTTCTTGTATTATATTTCATTTGTCTAAGGCACATTCTGTATCTATGTGTAATATGCATACATGTTTTTATTCATTGTGAGAATGAATATATCCGTTTATTGTAATAATATCCAGGTGAAGGAAGAAGAATCCTCGACTTTAGAAACAGTACAAAACATACAAGCCATCACTGTAACTTTACAGAAAGCAAAAGACTTGTATATGCAAAAAGGCAATGAATTGGAAAAACTTAAGAAAGACAATGCTAGCCAGAGAGAATTGGAAAAAGCAGAAGCAAAATTTAAAAAGGCACAAGATGACTGCAAGACTTTAGTTGAAAAGTATACGTTAATAAGAAATGATTTTGAAACAAAAATGACTCAGGCTTGCATGGTACTTATCACAATTATCTGTTACACGCTGAATCTTCCTGAAATAATATGGACAAAGATTTGTTATGATACATTAATGAATTTATGCTTTCATTACTAAGCGATTCCAAGACGTCGAGGAAGCACATCTGAAACAAATGAAGGAGTTCTTGAATATTTATGCAGATGTCTTACAGTTTAATCATGAACAAATTGGTCAGGTACACGTGGAATTCAAGCGACAATGTTTAGAAATGACTGTAGATAAATTATTGGAACAATTTGTTCAAATTAAAAGCACAGGCTTAGAAAAACCAGGTAAAAGAAATGAAAAAAATAAAATATTGGACTGAGGAGATTAGGGCTTAGTTATTGACATTTTGATTTTCTACAAAATAGGTGTCATCGAATTTGAAGATGTTATGATGAGTATAGCGGAGGTCACAGGACATTCCCAATCCGAAGGAAGTGTAGAATCATCCAAGGATACATCAAAAGGAGCGAATGGTGAAACCGGTGTTGCTGGTAACAGTCACGATTCAAAACCAGATATGGGATTTAAAGGGGAGGGTTCTCGAATAAGTGGGGATAGGGAAATGGTGCAGGAAAAGGATAGAGAGAAAGAAAAACAAAGGGACAGGGACAGAGAACTGTCACATACGCAAGCCACCAAGGCTTCCCGCCGTACTACCTCTTTACTCAACCTGTTCATGTCCAACTCCCAGGGTAGGTTCCATTTAAGTTAAGCAAATTTTTATTCAAATTCTCGTAATACATTAATCGCGAAAACGAATACCTACCTAAATGTAATAAAGCACGAAATTTTTTATAAATATAACTTTTATATTTTAGCGCTTTGCTAATATTGTAAATGCAACTAATCAATGCTTAAACCTCCAATTTGATATTATAATACATTAATACAATTGGTCTTCATACTTACACTATAACAAAATTTTTTTTTTTTTTTATAGAAATAATTAAAGTTGCTTCAAAGATAGAAATTGAAATATTTGACAGCGGCAATAAAATGTGTATATCGTGAACATTATATTTTGGTAGGTCTAGAATTTGGCATTTTAATATTTTATATTATATCATTGATACCACTTTATTACTAGTATATTCCTCACTCGCCTGCTACAGCTATGGCATTTAAATTTGGAAATATACATTTAGAGAAATCTACAGTACAATTTGCTGGATTTGCAGTGCTTGCGTGATTGTTGCATTATATCGCTTATGCATTATAATCTAACAGTATAGCAAAGAATAGTGTGCAGAATATAATGCGTTTTTATAAGGGAGAAGGAGAGGGTATCATGTGATATTTTTTTTTTGGTAATAGATAAAGTGTGAACGTGAAAGAAGTCAAACTTCTAATCCGCAAATTTTCTTGCAAATTCTGTTTTAAGTGACACTCATTTTTGTAATAACTCCATTGACTAAATAGCCAATAGAAAAATACACAGCTTGACTCGAAACGTGCCAAATTTATGTAATTAATCTCGCTGCTGCATTATTGTTACACATATATATAAATACATATATGTGCATACGTGCATAAATACAAGTATATGTATTTGTACATATGTATAATGTGTATAAATAAGTTTTAAAAACTATTCCTCTGGAGTGCATTTACGTTATTGAACCTACAAGGATCATTCCTGTTCAAAACATGATGTTGAGATAAATAATAACAAGAATAAGCGAGGAAAAGGTTAATGGAGGTGGGAAATGTTCATAGAAGCAAATGATGAGTGCTGTTTCAGACAAGCAGAGGCAAGCAGGATCTGGTTCTGCACCTGCAACTCCTCAGGGAAACAATCTACCTCCTGCTGTTCCACCTCCTACCATCTGCAGGAACCCTCTCAGAGGATCTAAATGTAACTGCCTATATTGCGTTTACCTGTGTTCCTACTGTTATCCACGATTATTGCAGAATAACTGTATCAGATTGCCATTTGTATGTATATTCATGGGGACAAATTTTTTTTTTTTCTCCATAACTTTCGTACGTAATTTTCTAATATCAAAAATATATTATAAAACAACAGTATGTTTATTTTTAAAATGTACTGTTAATAGGTATATCCTTATACTTCTCTCATCTTTTCTCATCTGTGAAAGTATCGTACGAAATGTATATACGTGAACAAAGATAAATAAGTCTGTTATAACATGAATCGTTCGCTTATACTTTATAACAAAAAAATGTCTTAATCCAACGTTTGCTGCTTTTAATCGTAAACAAAGCTAATACTGGTAATCTTATACAGCAATTCTACATCCTAACTTACAAAATGATAATATCAAAATTAAATACACTAACTTATTAGAAGATTAATCAGTAATATAATGTTGAATACCGATGTAACAGGATTGAATGAATAATTTCTTTTGTTAAGTTTCAGTAAATGAAAAGTTCTGTATAATTTGATAATTACTGAACTTTACACAGACTCACTCTTCCTTGACACTCTTACTCTTCTCATTCTTTCGCTCCCTATATATATATGTATATATGGTGATTGATTATAAGAAAGCTATTCAAAATTCTTTTCATTTATAGTTTGGTTTTTATGTTTAAGGAGGATGTAATAATATAAAATAACGTGTTCAATGGATTTAGCAATGATGCACGTTACTATTTTATTTCTCTGCATTGTTTTCAAAAACAAGAGTGTATGTATGTTGTACGTATGGAAACACATAAATCACTCATATTAAATAAATCTGAAAAGAATTTCGGGAATATTTCGTTTTCGAATAATTTTATTCAAAGTATAATGATTTTTTAATTTTTTATTTTTATTTATTTATTTCATTTTTATGTTATAGATTTAATATCATATACGTACACATTGGTATCTGTGTGTGTTCTATGTGTGTGCGTGTGTGTACATATATAATAACTTCATGTAACTATTTTATTAACGCATGCACTCATGCAGATTGTGCATAACAAACGCAATTTCTTTCGCTTTTAAAAGCCTTTAAAAGAAAAAGATGAAAGAAGCTAAGAATTCATAGTGAGAATTTATAACTATCTAAAAATCAAATATATTTATTTCTTGTATTATTCAGTATGTATTCTTCACTTCTTTCAAAGTCAGACACTAATACGAAATATATCTGTGATTTTATTCTAAATGGTATCTAATCGGAAACCAAACAATTTTAATATTCAATGAAATTTTAATTAATCTCAATTTATGTGGTAATTGTTTACAAATTGTATAATTACATCCTTTTTTTACAAAATGTATAGATATTTATGTTTTTTCTTTCTTATATATATTGCATTCTATAATTAATCGTCTCTCTATTTCTATCTTATAGTATATAAATACTAATCAACAAAATATATATACTATATTACTGCTTTAAATTATTTCTATAGTAATTCTGAGCTTTTATAGATCATAGAGCTAAGTAGAATGATTGATCTTTAATCAATGAAGAAAGATAGATACTGTATTTGTTCAGGGGTAATATACATTATACATATGTGTATATTTTTATGTACGTATATAATATTTATATATGTATATATATATGTATATACAGTATATCCGAGTATTAAATATATACGAAAAATTACTTATTTAATTATAAAAAATAGAAGAAGAAAAAAATTTATATAAAAGATGAGTTGAAAATAATCCAAAGTAATTATTATTTCTATTGTACGCTAAAATATACTTCTTTCATTCAAACAACTTTTGTATAAAATCAAATATTTTTGTGTTTGTTAATAACGCGTATATATTTATTTAAATCGGACATACTATATATGTATATGTATATATGTGTATATAAATTGTTTTTCTAACAATTATCTCTGCAAGTATATGACGGGCTTTTTTCTCTAATTACATATATTATTCATATCATTGCTATAATAGAATAGTAATAATATTATTGTTATCTTATTATCTACTAATTACGCTTTGTACGTATCATTTGACTAGATGCAAAATTCATCTTCGTCTTTACTCTTGCTTTGTGCCATAATATCATCTGAAATGAATATTTTCATTTAAAAAAAAATTCACATTTGCGATAGAAAAGTACTTACATACAAAAAATATTATTAATATATTAAAAACAACAACAATAACTACATAAAAGCAAAGAAACTCTCACTCATTCTTCACATTCATTTTATACGTGTTTATTTATATATTTTTGAACATTTATATTTTTATATGAATATTGTATATATAAAAAATAATTAGTTTATACGAAAAAAGAGAAAACAAAGAAATTTGTCTGGAAGTTTTGTAATTAAATTTGATATATATATGACAAATTATATATACATATTGTTTGTGTGTGTATGGCACAACAAAGTAAGAAATAAGTCGAAAAAATTATTATAATTATGATAAAGAACTAAGAAGCAAAATGGAAGTCTCTATACAAAAAGGGAGTTGGACTTGAATAATGTTGAAGCTCGAGTGTGGGGTTGTCTCCGACGGGGCCTAAGGTGAGCCATTATTTACGAATCCATGAATCCAAAACAAAAAGAAAAGTTTAAAAAATGAAAAAAACTTTACTAGTACATGGCTCACTCTTCTTGTGTTAAATTTATTTTCCAAGTGCACGTACTTATTTCAATAGCGTAATGTGATTATATTATTATTATTATTATTTATTATTATTATTAATATTATTATTTATATTATTATTATTATTATTATTATTATTATTATTATTATTTATTATTATTAATTATTAATTATTATATCATTATTTTGAGTAGATACGTCCTCATATAACATATCGTTGATTGGTATCCATTAGAGAAGACTATACTGTTCTTAAAAATATATCTAAACTAACAAAGAGAGTTCATATAAATTGGTAAACTTATTAAAAAAGAAAATTAATTCAAACGAAAATTGTATATTACTTACATCTTACTCAAGCTCTCCTTGTAAGTTACATAAATCGTGTCATCGAGCTTCGCCAGAAAAATGTTTCACGATTACTTCAATTTCTTCTTTGACTTGTTCTTATTCTTCTTCTTCTTCTTCTTCTTCTTCTTCTTCTTCTTCTTCTTCTTCTTCTTCTTCTTCTTCTTCTTCTTATTCTTCGACTTGTTCTTATTCCTATTCTTCTTCTTCTTCTTCTTCTTCTATTTACTTTTCTCCTATTTCAATTTTATAAGACGTCGTTTTAACCCTTTATAATTTTTAAATTGCACACATTTATAATTATATATTTTTTTTTTGTTCATGTCTATGATAAGAATTATGTAATGTAAAAGTTATAATATTATTTGTACTAGTATAATTAGTATTAAAGGATACTCATAAAGAAGTATATAAAATTATATATTAGAGAGAGTATAAATATAATATTACTTATAATTTTGTGAAATTAATAATAATTTTGTTGTTCTAGGTAGGGAAAAAAATAAAGTTTATAGAGGGTTAATACAAGACGTTTTGTTTTTTATCTAATTGTGATCGTATGTTTAATCGATCATTTTTGCATCTAACATCATCTAAGGATTTGATAGATTATCATACGAATCAGCTAGAGAAGCTGTTTATTGTTAGAAAAACAATTTACTAAAATGTTGATTCTTTCTCTGGATTGTGTGATATACAGGAGAGCCGAGTTAAGTATGTATATACAAATTCGGAAAAAAAAAATTGAGAAGATGACAATATTAATATTACAAAAGAAAAACAAAAAGAGTATATAAATCAGGTATATATAATAAATAATTAGAAAATTTAATTCAAGTATTTCTAACAGAAATTTTATCTCTAGAAATATTGTTCGAATGAGTGTATACCAATTTACTCGGGCTATCCCTTTTATTAGACATCTCTCTAGTCAATTTGGTGTTTGGGTTTATAGTGGATTTTCGCTACAATAACTTCGCTAGCTAATACTGTTCTATACTACACTTTCTTTGCTGTACAGAATCACATATCGTGTATGTACAAGACTTTATACGATTACAAAATAGAAAAAAAAAAAAAAGATTTTAATAATAATAGCAATCATACAGTGCTGATATGCGTTTCATTAAAAAATGTCTTACTTTTTAGAAATGAGTTATCTGAAAAAGTAGCCTAAAGTAATTACAAAATCATAGAAAAGAAAATTTGTCTTTTTCCACGTTCTAAACTATTTAATTTTCTTTGTATATTTTGTCTTTTTTAAATCTTTCATTTGGAATTCATATCAGCGTTAAAAAAAAAATAATAAATTTCGTGTAACAATTGCTTGATGTATTAATTAGGATAAAACTACTTTCTCTTCTTCTAGCTTCTTTTCAATCACGTTGCGCTATATCTTTGAACACTTGGAAGGTAAAAGTTCTCTGGCCGTTATTAGCACACACACATACATATTATACGAACATATTTTTTTTTATTTTATATATGTATTATATATTATTTATCTATATATATATATATATATATATAATATATAATATTGCACACATAGCTTTTTACAATGCAACATATTAGATAATATAGATATATAACAGCGAGGGATACACCTAACAGTGCAAATGTAGATCTCACTTATTTTTATTTTTTCAATATTTCTATTCTTAAAAGCTGTTTAGAAAATTGTTCAACGAATGAGGATAAGTGAATTTGAAGTATGAATTCGAGATTATATGAAATATCGTCAAATGTTACTATATTTATATTACATTAGTGTGATAAAATTTTGTACAAAATTCATTTAGCCCCTTTCGTGTGGATTACTATTGCTAGCTATATTACTATGCAATTTGATTAGCATAGAGTCTGTTATAGAAATAATTCTTACATAATATATCTACAAAAATAACGAGAAATTTCTCAAAAGTACATTTTATTTGAAAATGTATCGGTACTCAACAATTTATAATTTCTGTATTTTTTTTTTTTATATTTAAAAAATAACAAAAAAGAAAAGAAAAAAGAAAAACAAGTCATGCATAAGTTATCTAAAAAATCGATTTGTTTAGAATTAATAATAATGGATCAATGATTTGGAAAAATTATGAATAAAAATATATAATAGCTTTTTATTTCATCGAATTACCAGCTTGTAATGCAAAAGCTGCGAAGTATAATTTTTTGCTATTTTCCAAGCAAAATTATTAGTTAGTTACAATGCACCATTTTTAAAGCGTCAATGTAAAACGCTTTTAATTATATATGCAGCTCTAAAGAAAGGTACATACAAAATGAAATATAAATGCGAACCGATGACACTATTTGCAAGTAGTTATATATTTTTTTGTTTTATGTATATACAATATATATATGTATAAATACATATATATATCCCTTTTTTTTAATCTCTAGAAAGTAAATTATTTCTACTAAATTAAATCTAATTAATAACATCATTCTTGTTTCATTGCTTATGTTCAATCTGTCTGCAATCTACAGGGTTTCTTCGCAGCAGAAGGGAAAAGAGGAAGGAAAAGAAGGCGAAGAAGAAGAAGGATATTATAGAAACAAGCAGTAACAAAGAAGAAAAGTCTGACCTGTCAGTATAAAAATGTTCAGCAGACCCGGTGCACATAAGACAAGAATGAATCATATTTTTAAAATTTATATTTATATTTAAACATAATCTAATCAAAATTTTAATTTACCTTATGACGTCACTATTTTTATTCTTTTTTCTATTTATATATTCCGAATAATTAAAAGATAATGTGCATACGTAAGGCAAGAATAGAGTTGAATTTTTCGAAATTGCACTGGGCCTGCTGGAAAATGTTAATGAATAGACGATTAATAAAATTTGCATTAATGATATAGGGAAGATAAAGAAGATAGTAGGAAATCTGAAACACCAACGCCTGAAGTAGACGAAGATGGATTTTGTATCAGACCAAAGCCTGATCCTTGGGAAAACGAGAAAGGATTTTATTCTAGTTCGGATACGGATTCAGAGGATGAAAGAGAAAGAAAAATTCGAGTGGAGATCAAACCTCTTAGTAATGGAGCAGCACCAATGAGTGCAAGTGTCGATGAATTAAGAGCAACTGTTGAAAATTTATCTTTGTCACCTGCCCCAACAGTGAGTTCTATATTTATGATAAAAGTAGAGGATCTAAACGTTAAGTTATATTATATAAATAAAATAAAAAATTGTACATTTCTCTAATAGAACATCTAAATTGATGATGTCTTTATATATGATTACATCGTTGATTTGTAATGACTCTTTATTATATATTAGGGACGTAGAGGTTCCAACACTGATTCAGATCATCACATGAAGAGGTCTCAATCAGTATCTCAACAGCTAGGAGGCAAGCCAAGCTCGGATTTACTGGGCCTAAATTTATTTAATCCCAGCAGTACGCCATCCAGTGCCTCTACTCCAACCGGAAGTCATCCTTATGCACCCTTACAAAGTCCACCGCCTCTTTCTTCATCTCCAATACCACAACAACCGCAACCTCCTCAATCTGCGCCACCATTACATCAACATACACGTTTCCAAGGTTTATTTCTTATGCAATCAAAATAATATATTTTATCACGAGTAATGACATTTTCTAACGAATTATAATCTTATTGTGTTTTCTGTGTTTCTACAGATGGCGATTTATTTTCAGAAGTTGGTGATATTACACCAACTTTGCCACCTAAACAATCCGCATCTTCGACGCCTACAGGATCTATTATTATTCCTAGACCGCCATCTCGAAAAGGTGAAGGACCATCTCCAAGAGGAAGAAATTCACCTGCTCCTATATCTAGAGCGGATAGTGTTGCCAGTTTAGAATTTCGTACAGCAGGAGTTGGAGTAGGATCTTCTCGAGGACCTTCACCACTTACTATCGGCCTTGCCGATACCATTCCACTAGCTGTGGCGTTTCATGAAATAGTTCATTCCTATTTTAAAGGCACTGACGAAACTCGATGCCAGGTCAAACTCAGCGGAGACATGATGTTGTCTTTTCCTGCTGGTATTGTTGCGGTATTAGCAAATAATCCAAGTCCAGCTAAGCTTACTTTCCGCGTGAGAAATAGCAACAGACTTGAAAGATTACTTCCTAATAGTCAACTCGTCAGCATGTAAGTAAGTCATGGTTTCTAACGATAAGAATATTTCTTATTATTAGTTTTACGCGCATTCATATGTTTTGATAATAATTTTGTTTATAAGTAATCTTCTCTTATCTTTTTTTTCTTTTTAGGGATGCAACTCAAACTACCGTTGATAGTACAATTTTCGAGTTTAATATGAGTGCCTTAACTACGTTGTTGCGACGACAGGCAGAACAAAATCCGTCGGCCTCCTATTTTAATGTAGATATCCTGAAATATCAAATTAAATGCAAAGAAGGCGCGGGTTCCTGTCCCTTTCAATTAGTTGCATATTGGAAATGTGAATCGACTCATACCGATCTAAAGGTATTTATTTGTTCAATATGTTAAGTATGAGATTTAGAAATATTGACAAATTTACTAAATACTGATTTATATTTTACTTTTTAGATCGATTATAAATATAATAGCCGTGCAATGGCCTCACCAAGTCCACTGTTAAATCTTCACGTAGCAGCACCTATTGATGGTGGCTTTAAGGCTCTTAACAGTAAACCTACAGCACAATGGCTCGCAGATACAAATCGCGTATTATGGAAATTTACTGAATTATCCCAACATAGCGAAGGTAATGGTGTGGGTTCTTTGAAAGCAAGGGTTGAACTCGAACGTGGACCAGGTACTCAGGGAACTATATTTACTCAATTTAATTGCGAGGGGACCACACTGTCTGGTGTTGAATTTGAACTTTTAGGTCCTGGTTATAGACTAAGTTTAGTTAAACGCAGATTTGTATCTGGTAAGTGCAATTATGTGGCTTTTTTAAATAATATTCATTAACGTTATAAGTTGTTGTAATTTATAACATTACAAATATATGTATATATATATATATATATTAACTAACTATTTATAGTTATATATAATATAAATTTATAGTTATATATATATATATTAACTAACTATTTATAGTTATATATAATATAAATTTATAGTTATATATATATATATTAACTAACTATTTATTAACTTTTATATATAGAAAATTGCTATAATTGTAGGAAAATATATATGTGATGGAGATTCAGATGCGCGTACAAGATATGCTGCACCACCATCCAATGCTGTCTGACAATTTCCAGAATGGATAGCTCAGTGGGGAAAGCTACCGATTTAATATTGGTATTTGCTTATTCACTCACTGCCTACATCAGGGCATATTCAAAGTTAAAACTTTAAATTTACGCGAAAAAAATTGTTGGATACCAAAGAATATATGAAATAATTCTACATACGCGTACATTTTGGCAATTACTTTCTTTATTATTCATTTCTTTAATTGTTCCTTTTAGCTTTTTTATTTGTAAAAGGACATAAAACATAAAGTAATTATGTTCAATCTTTTAATTAATGAAAGAGAATATATTAGTTACATGTAAACTTTGGTATTCAGCATAATTTCGCAGCAATACTCGCCAGTTTTAATCTCTTTTCATAATCAAAATATCTAATATGAATGTTTTTACATGAAGGCTCAACTAAAAAACAAAACAGCAGTATAAAATATTTTTATCTTCTTAAAATTTTCGTTATTTTGTTCGTAGATATCACATTATTAAATGAGATATCCATTAGAAATTTTAAAAGTAAAACGAAATATTTGTATACTTAGCAGGAAAGTGTATATACACATACATATAGATACTCGAATATAATTTTCAATAGAAAAAAGAAATTATAATTGTGTACAGAAAAAGCTTTTGTGCAAAAATCGTTTATAAGATAATATTCATTTTATGGACTACAAACGATGACATATGTCATTTTTGTTGTAAAACTTGTTAAGATTGTCGTGCGTTATTCTAAGATGAATCTGGATAAAGTTTAGATAAAAGTATATTCACTCTAAAAATGATATAGATTACTAATTTAATGATTAAATGGAGTAGCTTTAATGATACATCTTTACCATATGCAGTTTGATAAGTAAAGAATGATTTGTAAAAATGTTTAACGATGAAAATCTAATGTTATGCAAGAACCAAAGGTTTCTCACTTCTTTTAACAATTTCAGTTAAGAAATTCTTAATAATATTTAGGTTTACAATGGTCTTCAATATTCTTTATTATCATTTCACGAGATACATAACTATATATATATATATATATTGAAATAGATTTTTTATATATCATTATTAATTACCGTCGTAATAAACCAACATTCGTTTCCCGAATAATTATCTCAAGTATTACTTTTGCATTTATGCCGAAATCACTTGCCTACTTGCCTTCAATGAATGTATTGCATTACAGTTCAGTTAAATTTTAAGTTAAGTTTCTTTAAATAAAAGAGATTTTTCAAGACGTCATATTTCTCGAGATATATTCAATATATTAAATCGCATATCAATGAATTATCATTTTCTTCAGCAACTATAGATACTTACAATTATTTGTATATATATATATTTCTTTACAAAATAATTTTAAGCCGATTACAATTTCTTTTTCTTATCAAATCTGATTCAGACCAATATCTGTATTCTTTACTGCGTCATACTATATATGGATGATAATACGAAATGGTAACGTATATTAATGTGCAAATTATATGAATTTGACAAATTAGTTGTGCTTAATTACGTTACTATATAAAAAAAAAAAATAATAATAAAAAACTAACTTGTATAACCACAAATTAGATTTAATTGTGGGTATTTATGTATAATATTATTATTTGGCCATTTATTATTTGATACGTAAACGGATACTTCTGTATCTGTTGTTATAAAACAAAATCTAACAACAAAAAGAAGCTTTCATTATTAATGTTCCTATAATATATATTCATAATGAATGTAAAAAAAAAAAAAGAAAAGAACACAGTTTGTTGAGGAAGTCATTTTAAGGAAAAAAATGTCCTATGAACATAGGTCTTATAGTAAAAAGTATTATAATTGTACTAAATCAAGATTTCATTGTGAATTTATTATGATAGTAATAAAAATTTGATATGCTGTAATAAATTTATAAAATTAGTAGACCTATGTTTAGATTATATTTTTTTCTAAACGATTTATATGCATATACAGGGTATCATGAGGTAAGTGTTAGGCAGAATAACGCCTAAACTATAGTATCTAGTAGATAGAAAAATATCTAAACATTTATTTTTATTCTTTTTTAAACTTTGAAACTGCATTTTTTTAAAAAGATTACTGCATTATATATTTCACTGCCTGCATAATGCTGTCAACTTTATTTCTAAACATAAGTATCTCAGTACTATATAATTTTTAAAAAATTATTTACCATTTACGGATACAAAAAATAATCAAGTTATTTTTTTTTTAGTTTTACGCTTTATTTATTAAAAGTGTTTTAATATTTCTGTACAGAATACTAAAAATTTTCATCGTTCCTATTCGATGCAAAATAAGATATTTATTTAAAGTGACATTATCTCAGGATATCCTGTATGTCTATGTATATGTATTTCATTTTTATTCACAAAAGAATTTTCGTTAATATGCGATACTCATTATCCTATTTTATTGAGAGAAGTAATATTAAATAACGATAACATTAGTGACCACTCCATTAACTGTGATTCTTTATAAATTAAAGCTCTTACATTTCATGAATTAAATCTTTAATTAAAATATTAGTATTATTAATACTTATTCCTATTATTTATAAGTGAATTCTAAAACGATTATATAATTAATATTTTTTAATATTATTATATTATGTAGAAATGCATAATCTTATAGAATGTATATTTAAATGATTTAACGTCATATTATATTTACTATAATAATCCTAATGTATACCACAATTTTGTCATAAGTAGTGGAGTGGTTTCCAATGAATCGACTGAACTCCCTGTGATATGCAGATGTCACTATAATTTCGTAATAAACATTTGTACAACATGTTCAGATAAATCAATTATTCATACGACCTAATTCAGATTTATCTTATTACTTTTACTTTCATTTTCTAATATTAAAAACAACATTTTATAAATATAATATCTGCAATAATTTTTAGAGTTTGGCCCCTGTTAATAGGCAACATTTTGTACATACATGCATGAACATGAAATTACATATATGTAAGCACATAAACAGAGTATAAATTTTTTTATTATACATATTTATATAAAATATATAACACAAAATGTATATATAAACATGCTTGTATAATACAGACCACAGACAAATAACAGTTAGTATTTTAAAGCGTTATTTTTGATGAAGATTTAATGAACTTTATTTTCTTATTTATTCGTTTTATTAGATGCTTGTTTCAGTTCTTCATGTAGTAGCATAAATTCCTCGGAAATATAACGCAAAATTCTTCGTTCATATTCTTGTCTTTTCATATATGCAAGTGCTTCCTAAAGTAAATAACAGAACATTAATAATATATGAATTGTGATACATATATAAATTTTTACCTACATATATATAGAGTATCCTGTAACTGATGATACAAGCGAGCAAAATTTTATTCTACATTTTTGACTTATTTTTTCATATAAAATCACCCCCTGCTCGCTTATACCACCAAATAAGTTATTAGATAACTTATTGTAATTAAATAAGTTACAAGACATCCTGTATATCTCTTATTCTTTTTAGATAATAAATAATCATAAGATTACTTCACGTGGGATAAAATATTCCTTTCTTGCTTTTGGTAATCCAAGATAATATTTTTTATTATTCAACATTGTTTCATCAACTGGATCAAATAATAAATAACTTTCAACTGCTTTTGATGCTGCAGCAACATTTCCTACTAAATAAACAATATACGTTAAAAATCTTTATCTTTCATATATCAATTTACTTTATAATTTGTGTTTTAATATTTACATTTATAATAAGCAAATTGTAAATAATTGTAATGACTTCTTAATAAGTCATCTCGATGTTCTCCATTCACATAATTAAGTAAACGCGAACAGCTACGTTTACATTTTAAAGAATAAGTAAAATGATCTAAAAAGAAAACATCATTTTCTATTACTAATGTTCTGCTAATAATTTAATGTTATGTTTCTATTTATTTACTTGCTACTAAAGATGTAAATTCAGGATGCCATCCTTGATCGAAAGGTCCTTCGCAATAGATTCTACATTCATTTTCTGAGTTCAAATAATCTCTCAAAGATTGTTCAAACAATTTAACTGCCTCCTTATAATTTTCCTTTTCGTATTCTGACATACCAGTAGTATAAGGATTTAAGAAATGTGACATCTCCAAATTAGAAACATTATCAGCATGTACACCTGGTAAAGTGAGATAGTGTCTCAAAGTGATAACGCTCGCATTATGGTGCGGGTGCATAACCAAAAAAGTGAAGACTGCATTAGCTGCATCTTGGAAATGATTTTTCTATGCGCAATTAAAAATTATTAGAAGTACATAAAAAATTTGTATTTTTAATTTCAATACATCTAGAAAGATAACACTATTTTCTATTATAAACATTATTTTATTTTCTATTATAAATATATTATAGCAATGATTATAATTACTTTATTACCTGATAATAACATATATGCAAATATTCATAAACATGGTGATCAAGGAACTTCCTTTCTATATTCATTGGTAATCGTTTAAGCTTTTCTTTATTAGCAATATCCTTATAATCTTGATTACACTTCATTAAACAAAGAGTCTGACGTATTTTTCTTTCATAAAAATGTAAATCTTCTATATTTTCTGGATAAAATGGTTCCCATCCTTCCGCTTCTATTGCACAATTTTGTCGACATCTTATTATTGTTTTTTTGTAGATTTTATACCTGTACATAAACAATTCTGATAAGCAATCATATACAATAATATATATAATTTAATGAAAGAATTATCAGAGTTCATTGACCCTGATATATAAACAAAATTATTCATTCGCAATAGTTAGATATGATAACTATTATTAATAATGTAATAAAATTAAATGTTACAAAAATTAATAGATAATACAAATATTTTTACCATTATAAGATCCAACAATCTAACTTCTCTTAATAATGATCAAATAATATTATTAAAAATATCTACCTTGTTATGACTAATAATCTCTTGAATGAGTATGACACACCTTATCAATAGTATCTTATCAAACGTACCCTTGTAAAGCCTTGGTAAATTTTTCAATACACTCATCCCAATATTCACTTAAATAAGCTTCCACAGCACTCTCGTATAACTCCGATAATGTTAAATTTGTATCTATGTTTTGAAGGAACCTTCGTTTTATATTAAAACATAACCTTCTTACTTTTCAAAAATTCTTACCAATATCTACATCAGCGAGTGTCCACGTCAAATAAAAAAATATTAACAAAACTGCATGGACTTTCATATCGTCAAACATAAAATTAATAATTAATGTATTAATAATTTCAATTGAATTATCTATTAATGACGATGATTATTATGGTAACGATGTCGAAAGAAGTAATACAGATTCAGGAAAGGCAATCTGTATTACACTGCTATATGTGTGTGTATATATATATATATATGTATATATGTAATGCTCACCATAGAAAAGTATTATCACATAATATATATATTGTTATGACCCTGTTTTGAGCCGTCCCTGGAAAAAGGACGTGAAGGCCGTTTCCAGGCGACGGGTTGTTGATCGGGGAGATCTTGACAGGAGCTCGGAAAGAACGGACGTGTTTATATTACGGAAAACTGTAGATAATCCCTTAATGGTTGTTAGAGTTCTATAAATAAAGTTCTTTGTTAATCTTTTGTAATCTGAGTTTGAGCGGGAGTGTTACTTCTCCGGGAAGCATTACAATATATATACATGATGATCTAGACCTATTTATCTTTTTAAAAGATTATATAGTTACAATATTTCCAAGATATGCGTTTAATTCGTTCATTTATCATATGACAAAATTTTTTCCTAATATCTCATTGTTCAGGGAGTATACAGATTCAAATGAACAACAATTATTGAAGCATTCTCAAAGCGTTCTACGGTCAATACTATATTGAAGTTAAAAATGTTATGTTATATATTGTTATATATCAGGCCATATATGTATATAGAATCATCCGATTAATAGAAATCGATGTATGCGCGAATGTGTACCTTTAAGTACACTCTGCTTCAATGATGATTCTGTTAACGTACTGATAAGAACGTACCAAAATGTTTTCTTTAAATAATTTCGCAATGATTTTATGAATTTATTATAAAAGACAAGTTCATTTAACTATAACACTGGTTTTCCTGATTACGATCAGTGAAACAGAGTATACTAGTGCAGTCATTGATAATATATCCTCTGATTATAAAAATGAGACTCGTACATAATATTGTGTATTACATATATGCATATATACAGTGCATATGTATATATGCATATACAATTGAATTAAATTATTATTACCATGCTATATTCCCATATAAGTAATTATAAGTTTGATTGCATACATACTTTGTATATATGTACATATACGTCAATGGATATTTAAATACATTGATATATATGTATACATATGTACATGTCAATTGGTGGTAAGTAATATTCTTAAAAAATATGTTTATAAATTAAATGATCGAGCACACGACGAAGTCAATGATTCTTTCAATATTTCCCATATTCAATAATCAATTAGGGAATAAAATGTATGTTAATTAAAAATTGCAGTGTTTTATCATTTAATGTTTAAACATCTTATTATATTGTTAATTTGTGTATTTCGAATTTAATTTTATGTTTAATATATACGTAATATAATGGCGCGCTTTACGATCACAGATTT